ATTTATAAGCACAGGCATGATTTCAGGTGCAGGTACCCTCCTGTATGGTCACTTTGTTGCGTGGATGTTGAGTGCATCCTCCCATCCTCCCATCTTCAGGTGTTGAAACTGGTCTTTCTATGGGGGCACTTGTTGAACTCCCAGACAGGTCACCTGGAAATGAGCAGCTTTACTGTGCTGGTTTTAATGACAGTGAAAAACGAATCCAACTCTTCCAATCCAGGGAAGAGTTCAGAATATTGATTTCCCTGATGTGCGTGGGATTAGCATCGCCTCCTGCAATGGGCTGTACCTGTCTCAGCATCCCAGCGAGGCAGGAGGGCAAAGGAGGAAAGGTTTGATGTCTGTGGGCACCCTGTGCCACACATCCCCACTGTCCAGCTGGTGGGACAGCCCACGGGGACACTGTCCGGTGGCGGGTTGGAGGAGGCAGTCCGAGGGCTAGGCTGCAGGAAGGGAAAGGCAAGAAATCAACCTTGCCCTTTGCTTCTGCAGCTTCTGCTCGGCAAAACAGATGCCTCGCTGCGGGTGAGGAGGCTGTGGAGGTTCCTCCCCAAGCTGTGCAGGAACCCACTGCTGCACAAGCCCTGTGCCAACCTCTTCTTCCTGATGGGTGGCTACAATGAGAAGAACTTCAACATGGTGGGTGTGCCGCCCCCGTAGGGGTGAGGGAGCCGAGGCCCCAGGGTGCACCACTTGGGAGCACCCAGCAGCACCCACTGGCTCTAACGTCCCCCCTCATCTGCTGCCTGCTCTCTCGCTGCCAAGCGCCCTGCCCAGCCCGCTATGGTCATGGGCAAGCAGATGTTGCAAGGGCAATCTGTGTCCCTCTGCCAGATCCCTCTCTTGCTGCTTCTCCTCTCCAGATAGGAAAAGTCCCCAGGCTCTGCTGGATGAATGTCAGTGGCCAGGTGGCACTTGAAAGCATCTCTGAGTTAGGGCTGCCCGTCACCCAGACCAGCTCTACCTCCCACCAGCACCCCTGGGGTGCAGCCCTTGCTCCTACCCACCCTACATCGAGCCTGCTGAAGCAGCATCTGGATGGCCACACGTAGTCACTAAGGTCTTGAGCACAGTCCCTGAGCCCAGATGAGGTACCACCAGGAGCTGGGGGTCCCTCATCCTTCATCACTGTTCTCCTCCTCAGGCTGCCTCAGAGCGATCGATTTTGAAGGAAAATTATATTCCCGAACCTGACCCAACTCTCTAGGCAGCGTGACTCAGCAGCGGTTGTTTTGGGAAATGCATCATCCGGCAACTGCTGTCCTCACTCCTATCCATTGGGAAGCAACGACATCTTGAATGTGTTTTCTTGCAGACGCGGCTGGATGTGTACACGTCCCACTTTCCGGATAGGACATCTGTCAAAAATGTGATACACTGGGCCCAGGTAGGTTTCCTGAAATGCAGATGCTTCCCCTCTGGGATGGTTCCTTCACTGGGAGCCTGGTGTGTCCAGGGCAGACATGAGAGGTCGGGGATCTTGGACATTAGCAGCTCATGAGAAAGTAAAGGCAAGAAATTTGGCGTACAGAAGGGCTGGGTGGAGGATGAGCTTCTCTGGCCCCTCTGGGACCAGGGAATGTTGAGATACGTGCCCTTGGCTGTGCCAGGCAGGACGAGGGAAGCGATAGGGAGGCCACAGCTGGATGTCGGGACCAGTTTGGGGCCCCCAGGGATCCCCAAAGCAGTGCGAGCCTGGGGACACCGTGATGACGGTGGGTGGAGGCCAGGATGTACGAGGAGAGGCTGAGGGAGCTGGGCTTGCTCAGCCAGAGACGAGGAGGCGAAGGGGGATCCAACGGCTTTTCCTCCTGCCCAAAGGGGTCTTGGAGATGCTGGGGCCAGACTCTGCCAGTCTGAGCAATCTGCTGCAGCTGCAACATTGGCCCTGCTGGAAACAGGGTCAGGCTGGAGACCCCCCCCTTGGTGAAAAAGGTCTTTTTAATCAATGCAACTACTGTGCAGGTATCTGAGCTTTTGCCCACAGAAGCAACTTTTACAACAACTGGGCTCACTGGCGTCACTGTGCCCTGAGCCTGAGGTGTCAGGAGAAGGTAAGGATGACCAGGTTGTTGAAGGAAAACTCACCATCCTGAAGTTCTCCAGCAACGTCCTGCCCACGCAGCTGGTGATGAGCAGGTTTTCAGAGGCACGAGCATTGCGCCGTGGCAGCCAAGGCATCCCATGCAACACCCCAGGCTGTCAGCCCATAACTAGGGACAGGCATGGAGCCGGAGGTGAAAGCATCACTCTGTTGAAAAAGGCAGAAAGTCTAGCTTTGCTGAGATGCCACCTCCTCCTGCAACATACCACGCGAGCACCCTCTCATGATGCGGTCCTTCAAGAAGGTCGGGAGATGCTGGAACCACGTGGCGGTGCTCACTGGCCTCCCACTGCAGATCTGGAGAGGGAGTCACTGGAAAGGGGCTTTTTACAAGGGCGCATAGTGACGGGACATGGGGCAATGGATTCAAACTGAAAGAGGGGAGATTTCGATTAGATCCAAGGAAGAAATTCTTCCCTCTGAGGGTGGTGAGGGACTGGCACAGGTTGCCCAGAGAAGCTGTGGCTGCCCCATCCCTGGAAGTGTTCAAGGACAGGTTGGATGAGGCTTTGGGCAACCTGGTGTAGTGGAGGGTGTCCCTGCCCATGGCAGGGGGGTTGGAACTGGATGATCTTTGAGGTCCCTTCCAACTCAAACCCTTCTATGATTCCATAATTTCTCCTGTCCTCCCAGGTGACAAAATCAGGAGAATTCAAAGCCTTCGACTACAGCAACAAAAACCCAGTTGTGTACCACCAGGTAGGAGGCTGCAGCAGCAGTGCTGGTGGCTGGAGATGCTGTGGGACTGTCCTGGGTGGTGTGGGGACAGGCTGGCTTGGAGAGGTTGACCATGATGGTGGTTCCTCAGAGCCCCCTGTGTCTCTCCAGGAGAAACCTCCCTTCTACCGGGTGGAGGAGATGCACGTGCCCACTGCGGTGTGGTCAGGGGGGGAGGACTGGGTAGCTGACCGGAGGGATGTCCACCTGCTGCTGCCCCGCATCGCCCATCTCGTCACCTACAACCACATCCCTGACTGGAACCACTGGGACTTCGTCTGGGGCTTGGATGCCCCTGGGCGCCTCTACAGCAGCATCCTGGAGCTGATGGAGAAGTCTCAGTAGAGCAGCAGCTCCGCAGGGAGATGCTGGTGGTCTGGCCCCTCTTCCTTGGCTGGGACAGCCCGAGGAGGCAGTGGGACATGCCCTGCTGTCCCCTCCTTCCTGCTGGCCTGACACGCTTGTGGTGACGGTGCTTCCTGCGCATCCCTTGGCCATCAGGGTTTGTCCTCCTTGCCCGACAGTGCCCCAAAGACCGGTGGCACTGTGCAGGCAGGGCAACGCCGGGGTCAACCGA